GCGGGGCCATGCACAGATCACTGTGTTCAGTCTGAGGGGGCGGGGCCAGGCACAGATCGCTGTGTTCAGTCTGAGGGGGCGGGGCCACGCACAGATCACTGTGTTCAGTCTGAGGGGGCGGGGCCATGAACAGATTACTGTGTTCCGTCTGAGTGGGCGGGGACATGCACAGATCTCAGTGTTCAGTCTGAGTGGGCGGGGCCATGCACAGATTACTGTGTTCAGTCTGAGTGGGCGGGGCCATGCACAGATCACTGTGCTCAGTCTGAGGGGGCGTGGCAAAAAGTTAAGTAAAACCTTTATTTCCTATTTTTATTTAGTTATAAGGGGGGACCCTGAACCTAAGTAACAAGGAGAACTCTAGTGTTAGTAATACGGGTTTGTATTCATATGGTATATGCTATGGTGTTCCTTTAATCAGTTTTCAGAATGTTATTACTGTATGTTTTCTCATGGTGAATAAGTTATATATAATTATTCCTGTATTATTGGTTTTGATTTAATCGATTAAAAGGAATTGCGGTACGTCCGCGGCAAATAGGATCCCCTGGACTTACCTGGACCAGCGATCTGCAGGTTTGGGGGGGACTGCAGGAGACCCCAGCAGTCCCCCTGCAGCAGCTCAGGCCAATCAGGCCCTCAAGGGCCATGTGATCACCATTATCACATGGCCGCAATAGAAGTCTATGGAGCTGCCAGCAGGGGGGCTGTATAACCTGTCAGGCAGTCCCCCAGGCTGCTAAAATATATATATATATATAAATATATATATATTATACATATATTATAAGTGCATAATATATTATAAAATAAAGCATTTTATTATATATTATATATATATAATGCATATATATGATTTCATTATAAGTCTACTTTGAGCTATATACACATATATCTCAAAATACACTTATAATTAAATCATATATATGCATTATTTATGTATAATATATTATAAAATGCTTTAATTATAATATATTATACATATATAGGAAATAAAAGTGTGTGTGTGTGTGTAGAAAATAATAAAAATATGCACAGGTTTTATAACATAATCATGAGAAACGTGACAGGAGGAAAACAAGGGTTACGTGGGCCCACAAGAGAAAGCAGTACTCTCAGGCATGGATATTCCTAAACAGCGGTATGCTATGCTAAGTATCCAGCTGAGCATGTGTAGCAGTTTGCACTGTACGTGCAGAGCGCACGTTAACCAAAAAGATGTTGGGCTGTATGGGAGGGTGAGATTATTACCTCTGGTACAGGAAACACTATGGTGTACCGCTATACCGTTTCCAAGGCATGACCTCAGAATAACTTAAGATTAAAAACAAATGTTGCGCATATTGCGTGAATTTTAAATAAAAAATAAAAATAGTTATGAACACGTGTTAGACCCAGTAGCCCGTTTCATCGGCTCCCATAAGTGGCATATCCACTGCTCGTTTACGGAGAGCATCCATAAGTGGTGGTGATGCACAAGCTAGGTCCCATGAGTGAAAACACCTAATGAAAGGGTGATCCCTTACCACGCTACTGCTAATATATGGTTCAGGTATAAATTTAGAGTGTGGGTTAGAGGAGGGGAGGGGTTTCCCTCGTGATGAGTCACCTATGGGGTGTACCTTGCTGGGTAGCCCAAATCATGGTAGAGCAATAAGCCCTTGTGGGGGGCATAAACATAGAGGGACATATTATTAAGCTTCAGTGAGAGAACTTAGCAACGGATAAAAAAAAAAAATTTTAAGTAAAAACTGTTGCAGAAGGTTAGTGCACACACACGTATGATATACACACGTATTATATGTATATGTGTGTGAATATATATATATATATATATACATACACACACACATATTATATATTATATATATATACACACACACACACATTTTACATATATATTTAACTATTAGCTACATAATTATTTGATTTTATTACTTATAATTTGAGGGACCTGCCTGACAACCCAGACAGACAGTCCAGAGAATTTAATTGGCAATCCCTGTATTTAACCTCGTAACTTTGTTATATTCGGGAGAGTTCGCTGAACACAAATATGAGTGTTTTAAAAAGTAAATCTTATCACAACGATGATATCACCAGTAAAAGTGCAGTTTTTCTTTTTAAAAAAATGCAAAAACCAAATAAAAATGCTAACTTTGACCAGTGTTTGTGACTAAGTGGCTACTAAAAAAGACTGTAATACCCCATTTTGAATACCCTGGGTTGTCTATATTTGAAAATGGTATGCCATGATGGGGTTAAATCACATTCCTGGGCTGCCATACTATCTCAAAGGCAACATAGCCAATCTGGCAAATAGCAATTTACAAAAACAGAAATTGGCAAATCTTATGTTTGACCCTGTAACTTTCCAAATCACCATTAAACCTGTACTTGAGGGGGTACTGTTGTACTTGTGAGACATTACTCTATACAAATATGAGTGTTTTAGAGCAGTAAAATGTATTAACCCCTTAAGGACCACACTTCTGGAATAAAAGGGAATCATGACATGTCACACATGTCATGTGTCCTTAAGGGGTTAAACTGATAATATCATCGGTGAAATGGCAGTTTATGTGTGAAAAATGAAAAAAATAACTAATATAAATGCTCATTTTGGCCAGGGTTTGTGACTAAGTGGCTACTAAACAAGACTGGGCATACCCCATTTTGAATACCGTGGGTTGTCTACTTTTACAAATGGTATGCCATGATGGGGTTCATTTTCTATCCTGTGTTGCCATACGGTCTCAAAGGCAACATAGGCAAATTTCAATGTGCAAACATGGAAAAGCCCTACATTTGACCCCTGTAAGTTTGCAAAACCCCATAAAACCTGCACATTGGTACAGTTGTACTCAGGAAATGTTGCTGAACATATATTAGGGTGTTCTTTGTCAATAACACACAACAGGAACTGAGAATCCATGCCTAAAGTACAACGTGAGAGAAAAATAACACAAAAAAATGACTACCCAAACATTTGACAAAGACTGGTGTTAGAATTAGTGCATGGAAAGTGTTAAAATACCACCATTTGAAATACCCTAGGGTGTCTACTTTTCAAAAATATATGGTTTGATGGGGGTAAATTACATTGACCGACTTCATAAATGTCCCAAATAGGACATGAGTGCATGATGACCATCTGTGAAAGTTGGGAAACTGGAATGCGCACCCTCCAAATAAGATCTTTTAGCCCCCAAAAGAACCTGACACACCTATACATGGGTGGTATCACTGTACTCAGGAGATGTTGCTGAACACATATTGGGATGTTCTTTGGTAGTTACCCTTAATGTTCTCAGTACATGTATTCTTAAATTGCTATGTGTAAAAACTATTATTTTTCTTTTAAATTTGGAATTGATTGGTGGGAAAATGGTTGCATGAATGGTTGTCTTCTTTTAAAGAATATATACATGTGAAGGGTTATTGAGGGATTCCTGACAGATATCAGTGTTACAATGTAACCTTTGTTAATTTTGATTTTTAAACAATGGTTTGGAAATAGCAAAGTGCTACTTGTACTTATTACCCTATAACTTACAAAAATAAAGCAAACA